CATCTCAGTGGAAAGAAGTTCTGAACAGTATGGAATTTTTATTTAAGTTAATATATTTTAGTTCCCTTTGTAATTTTAGAATCTCGGTATAATTAAGAGATTATTATAATTAATGAAAGTATTTTTAATTGTTACTATCACTTACTGTTAAGTTCTAACAGTAAGTATGAGAAGTTATATAGATTCAAAACTATACAAAAGAAAAATCAGTAGCAAGTGAGTACTTCTTAAATGTAGAAGATATACCAAAGATAACTTCAAGTATTAGAACATTCTGTTAAAAAGGTAGCTCCATTAGCAACAGAAAAAATAAGGAGAAAAAGAAGTTTGACTAATAACATATGCTAACTTTTGGATATAATAATTTAGTCATTCAATAAATATTTGAGTAATTACAATGTGCTTAGAAGGCCTTGTACTAAGTCTTACAAATACAAGTGTGAACATTTGGTCAACTATACTCTCTTGAAAGTTACATTCTCCCTAACAATTACATTCCATTGAACATAAAGACCCAAATAAGAATTATCACTGATCCTCAGGAGGTGACTTGTGAGAAGAAAATGGGCTGAGGAGTATAAAGAAAGAAGTATGATTGAAGAACAAAGGAGAAACAAAGATTACTCTATGAAATATTTAAGATTGGAATGAAAATTAGGTAAGACTAGAATGAGATTATGAAGTAGTCATACAATTTACAATGCATACATGTACTTCTGTCTGTATATTATTGTGGTGGCTGCTATCATTAAATTACTTGTATATTCCTCTAGGACAAAAAAATAGACAAAAAGAGAGACAGAGTGCTTGTTAAGATGCTAGAAGGGAAGGAGATTCACTTGAGAGTGCATTCTTTACAATCTGAAATCAATGCTAGGTAGTGTGTACAGACAGGAGAAATTAGATTTGATTTAGATAAGAGGAAGAGAAGATTTTTCACTTCTAATTTTTTTGTTTTGTTTGGTTTTTTGTGGTACTGGGGTTTGAACACAAGGCTTCACTCTTGCTAGGCAGGTGCTCAACCATTTGAGGCACTCCACTGGCCTCACCTCTAAATTTTTTGTCTTAAATGTTACGAGTTCTGTGAAGAGTGAGAGAGCAATGAATGGGAATAAGTCTAGGGAAGGGTGGGGATAAGGACAATCTCTTACAGAATATCCTTAAGAAGTACTATAATATTGATAGAGTGAAAAGGACCAAGCTTTTTGTGTCTCAGAAGTTTTCTGAGTGAGGTCTCTCTCTTTCTCTAGGGAATATTACTTTTTCTTAATTTCATGGCATGAGTCATAGAATATCATAAAACAGTGGGAGCATTGGAGTTGGAACTGGAATTGGAGTTAGGAGAAAAAGCAGGTAAAATATTGGAAACACTTCTTGGAACTTGAGTTTTTCCAGAGGTAACGTGGGAGCAGTGATGGACATGGAAATTTCATAAATTCTCTGTGAGTGCCCCTTTGGCTAGTCAGAGAGCATTGTCTACAGTAGGACTGGAAAAAGGGGCAGATTCAGTAGTGGAAATTGAAAATAAACAGAAATGTGTATTCCACTAGAGGAATGATGGTTTCTGGGACTGAAAGGTAAAAATAAGTATTCTAAGAGAGAAAACAAATGCACCAATTTACAACAAGGTGTAATTTCAGGATGTTTGTTTTGCTGTTAGTCTTCCTCTATATCTCTGACTCATGGATTAGTGAACATAATCTTTACATGGAAGCCATGCTTTTCTTTATGTCACTGACATACTTTCTACAAGTACCAAGAGCTGAGAACTAATACCCGAATTTACCATGTAATCCTCTACAATTTAGAAGGTACCTTATCAAGTGGTCATCGCAAAAGTTTTACAATGTAATTCAGACAAGAATCAGCAAACTCAATCTCACAAACTAAATTAAAAGGGACACATTCACGTTTGCCCTTTATATCCATGTCAAAGGTAGACTAGAAGGAATTTAAACACTGTGGCATCGTATTTGTCACAGTCATATCCTCCAGTGGTAAGGGAGGTTGTTTTTTTAAGGCTACCAGTCTATTAACCTTCACCAGAACAAGAACAAAGCAAAACAAAGAAGCAGTCCCAATAGAAATAACATTGCTTGTAATCGTGCTTATATATCTTACTCTGGGGATTTGAAGATGGAACAAAAACTTGTGTGTCCTCAAGCACACAAAATACAGACACCCTGAAATATATCATATTCCTTGTGATGCATATTGTAGACAAATGTGTGGTTCTTTTTTTTTTTAATGGGAGTGGAGTGAGGGAGAATAATTGAGATCATTCCTGCTAAATCTCTGTCATAGTGTGTGATTTGTAACTGTAAGGGCCAAAGAATTGACCCCATTTATTTTTTAAGGTCTTGGCCGGCTCTTGGCTGCCACTTTACCTAGATTCATTCACTGTATGTATTTGGAACTATTAGTTTCCTGAGAAATGCATTGTCAGAAAGCCAGAGAAGAATGATAAGATAGGAAATGAGGTTTTGGTTGTTTTTATACCTTTTTCTTGACTTAAGAGATAATTATAACACGGATTGATGCTCCTATTTTAATCAAGGTAGTAAATCAGTTTGAAGTATAAGTGGGAAAACCGTTTGCCACATCACTACAATTTCTCAGAATCCCTGTGTTCACCGAATATGAGAGACTATAATCATGCAATGATAGGTAGCAACTTCACTATTCATTTTTTCTCACGGAAGGCAGTTAAATAAGTCTGCAAAATTTGTAAATATCATTAGTAATAAATGTTAAATATCATTAACTGAAGCAAAGCAAAAGCATATGCTGTTGGGACTGGGTGAGAAATCAGATTCAGTAAGCAAGTTTAAAATAATGATTCAGTGTACTTCCTTTAAAATCCTTGCCTTTTCCACAAATAAAGTTTATAAATGATTATGAGACAATGTAAAAGAATATGACTTTCATAAATATATTTGATCAGAAGTAAAATGAGAACAAAAATTAGGATTTAGAATCAGAAAGACACATATTTGAGAATAGACTCTGGCAACTGTTGTATTAAAAATATCTGTCTAATGACATGACAGTGACAGGAATGCCTCAAGAGAGAGGGGTGCTGGTGCAAGGCTCTGTAGACCCCTCTTGTGCCAAGATTTATCTTCTTAGTTGCTAGATTGTAGATAAAGGTGACTCTGAGATGCTGAATTTAGAGCACTAGTCAGTTTATTCAGGAAATTAACCAGTGTGGATGAATTTCTATTCTAGGGCAGGATTAATTAGAACTACTTAATAGTTCAAAATATTAACTACTATCAGAGTCATACTAGTGCATACTTACTGACTATCATCCTTGGATGACACTAATTGTGTGGCATTGGGTGTTCTGCTAACTAACCTTTGTGACCCAGCCAAGGGAGAGAAACAAACTTGTGAGGTTTTTAGCTCTTATTTGACTATTAGAAGGTCTGTTCCAGCTGATGGGAGATGTCGATTATCTCTGCTTTCCCTTTACTTACAGCAACCAGTACACATTCTGATACCCTCAAAGCAAAAGATGATTTCCCCTGGGGACCAGTTGGACTTTCATAGTCTAAGCCAATCCCTATTAGAAGCCTGGTTTATACTCAATACTGACCTCCAGCTCAGAGATGAGCTCCTCAGGGAACAGAGACAGCATTGTAGAGAAAGCAAGTTCTGGGTAGCAGTCATTTTCCTTTTATGCCCATGCCCCACTCCAGCCTTTCAGGTTCAAACTATGATTAAATGTAAATCATCCAATAGTATCTTTGAATTGAACTGCTTGGAATCTATCTCTAATTAGGACATTTCATAGCAACAGTTATAAACAACAAATATCTATGAATTTAATTTTGCATAAGCTATGTTGATAGCGAAAGAAAACTTTCTTATTTATCCCGGTTATCACTATTTGAAAATGATTGTTATAGTTCAAAGAGTCATGATTTGTATGCAATTATAATCCACCTCTATTTTTGAAAGGATAACTGCTAAAACCTCATAAGCAAAATCCATAAGTAATCTACATAAAGGATTTAAAGAGTGATTGAAAGAATATAATTAACTGACGACAAAGAAAAGTTATAGATATAAGACAAAAATGGAGAAACTTATATGCTTATTTCATTTTACCATTCAATATGAAAAACCATTTGATTTCAACCTGCCAATACAGAATATTTTTAATAGGAAAATATGTTTAATAGAATCACCTAACATTTCATCTCTGAAATATTTTAGACTAATCACTCCAGTTGTTTGCCACCAAGACCTTTTGTACTATGCTTGTCCACAATTTCATATTTTGAATTTATAAGCCTAACACTTATTTATTAAACTAAGTTGTTTTACTTTCTTTTTCTTTTCTTTTCTTTCTTTCTTTTTTTTTTTTTTTTTGAGACAGGGTGTCACTATGTCATGTAGCCCAGCTTGGTCTTGAACTTGAAATCCTCTTGCCACAACCTCCCAAGTGCTGGGATTACAGTTGCGTATCACCATGCTCAACTTCTCTTCTTTCCCTCCTTTTTTCCTTCCTACCTTCTTTCCTTTCTTCTTATTTTAGTTTTAATTAAGCAGAGTCAAGAGCTATGATACTTAGGGATGTCTTAGAAACATAAAATAACTGAGTTAATCAGAAAATCCAATTATAACTGATGCAAAGATGTTTATAGTTTTAAATATACTACATAACCTTTTCAAACTTCAGGTTCAATAACCATTAAGTTTTTAAAAATTTGAAAAATGTTCCAAGAAGCCCCACAACTACCATCTCAGAGCCCCAAATACTTAAGGATTCTAACCGGGAAGCAATACACACAATGTCGTTTTTCAATCACCTAAAATATGATTTACTTTTACTTGAAGAATTTAGCATAACTGTCTAAGTATATTAGAAGAGAAAATTTAGGGTCTCTTTCAAATGTTTCCCCACCACACACACATCCATTTTTCCACTTTCTCAGCCTGAACCGTTACATTGACACACAGGCAGGAGTCAGAAGCATCCAATGTGTACTCACCAGCTTGATTAGTTGTGATGCTGACTGCTGCAAACTGTCTTGGTGGGGAGCTCAGCTCTGACACTCCGTTAATGGCATCAATCTCAAAGGTGTAGTTAGTGTGTGCCAGGAGGTCTGTCACTGTCACTGTGGTGTTGGTAAGTCCAAATTGTCGAGGGAGGAAGCGAACATTTGGGCTGCATGGCTCGCATTCTTTTACATTCCACCCGCATTTTTTACATATGATATTGAAGGTAACATCTTTCCGGCCTCCTGTGTCCAGGGGCCAGCTCCAGTCCAGAATAACCGAGGTCTCGTTTATATTAGAGATAACATTTCTTGGTGCAGATGGAGGTCCTGCAAAGTAGTTCAACAAAGATTAATGAGCCTCACTTCTGTTTTCTACTACAAGGGAAATAGATAATTTACAATGGAACTGAAAGAGGTAAATAACCATCCTGTCTTTATTATCTACTTTTAATTCATCCTCAGAGAATCCATGAGATTATAGACATATGGATTCAAGAGCACTGTCCTCCCCAAGATACTAGTGGGGGAGTTTTGGGTCAAGGTTGAGGATGCATTCACAGTGTTCAACAAAGGAATTCATCACTAGATCTAATACCCTTGTGAATAGTTATGAAAATTTCAGTATTACTTTTATATATCTTAGTCTTTTTTCCTGATGACCTATGACTAAGAGATAGCAAGAGGGAACAGAAATGTAAAAACATAAATTCCTTGCCTATAACCTCCTCTGTCCTGTCAAATGTAATGCAAGATTCTAAAAGACAATATAGAAAATTTCTCTTTCTGGGGGAATGCATTGCAGGAAGTGCTTTATAAGCTAATCCATTTGTGTGATAAATGTTGCATTTGTGGTGAGCCAAGCATGGAGAGGGAAGCAGAGAAAGCTTTCAATTGCACATGGATAATGGAAAGAAATGGGAAAATGCTTTAAACACACATATAGAAACGAAAAAACAAATAGCACAGTAACAAGAAGATAAAACAAACCAAACATGGAGGCATGGGTTGCAGCAGAACTACTCACGGGTACAAGCCATGGATGGAGGGTCTTTGTCTGCTCGGAAGTAATTATTCTCACACCTGCAGTTCATTGAACCATCTTCATGTGTAGAGCTGTGAGGTGGGCACTTGGAGCACTTGGCGTTACCATCTGAAGCCTTGTAAAAGCCTGGTCGACAAGCTACAAACAAATTGATCTTTTAAGTTTCTGTAATAATTTTGTGAATGTATTTTGAAAATTTGTAAAACAGATTTCAGGGTGTTAGATCATGAATTTCTTATGACTATAAATCAATTTCTTTCCTCCCAGAATTTACAGAAGCAAATATGTGGCATAGTATAGTTTTTTGACATATACATTTGAAACGTTAGGAAAAAAAACCCACAAGATTTAGATTATTTTGGCACTAGAGTATGATGAAATTTCCAGCTTGTGTTTTCACAGCTTTACTTGGCATTGGACTATTTGTGGAGAAAATAAAGCAAACCCATGTCACCATGTAGTCATTCCCTTTTTAAACATGATGCAATGTGTGTACTCTCTACCCTGCAGTGAGTAGTATATAGCACATTGACTTGTTTTCTAATTGTTTGATACATGTGCAAATTTGTCCTACATAGTATAAGCAGCTGAAGGAAAAAAATCATGGCTTACTCTATATTTTAAAGTTCTTGATACATGATTCTCATCTTTATGTTTTTCTGCCTTGACAAAGTAGTTTCTTAACTTGTATTATGATGGCCTATAATAAAAGATTAAGTACATTACTATACCTGAAATACCAGTACAATTTCTGTTTAAACCGATTCAGTTTTTAATTTGTATTTGATGAAAGCTTTGTTACTAACTGCAATCTCCTTTTCTTTCTGGCCATATTTTTGCCTAACTTTTTTTTGTAAACTCGATCAAACTGATTTCATCTTGCCAAATATTCACCATCTATTTCCTGCCATTATATAGACATGCATCAAATATATTACTTCTACTTAGTCTTACAGAAAATTCAGAATGCTGTGGTATTTCATTTGATTCATTTTCATAAGATATTTGAAATTGAAATTGTAGTGAAAAATCCTAGAAGTCTAGTGAAACAAAACTTGTAGCAAAACAAGAAGTCATGACATATCTTTAATGAAGGAACTCAAGATTCAAATTTTAGGTTTCATCTTTGGGAGTCAATGATAGCCAAAAAAAAAATACTCCTTATAGATAGTCATTGAATTCCAGAATTTTTAATATCAACTTCAAATTATAAGTAAAGTTTGCTTTATAGAAAACTTTATTGAAACAAAACAACTTTTAGAACCACTAAATGAATTTCTAAAAGGAAAAGTATTATATACATCCTAGAATACCTTCTCACTAAAAGTTTCTTAAAATAAAACATGGAAAATATACTGCCAAAAGAAACAATTAGAATAACATAAAATGATAGCCATCATTAATCTAGTACTGCTCTTTTCCAGTTCCTACTAAGAAGGGCCATTCTAGGTCCCTTTTACAATGTACCAAACAAGTTTTGGTGCCATATTGAGATGCACCCAAATAAATTCTACTGCTCTAATCAAACATGGATTAGGATTACAAACTTTTTAGCTTTGTCCTAAAGCACTAGTTAGAAACTTCCACTCATATTTCATATCCAATTGCCACAGGGGAAAATGATATAAAGTATATAAACAAACTATGCACTTAACTTCTGGTTTCAATTTAATTCCTCACCAAGTGCCTTTTAGTTTTCAAGAGGGCAATGCAAGTCTTTAAAACATTAAGTTGCAGTGCTCTTATGTGTTTTGTTATTTTGTTTGCTTATAAGATTATCTGCATGTTTTTATTTGAGGCTTTTATGGTTTAAAAATTTGGCGTAAAGGTATTCACTAAACATTACTTTTTGTTAATGTTATAAATGGCTAGTTTTAAGGAAAAACAAGAGTTACATAACCACTTCCTAGCTGCAACAGGATTTGTCGGGTTTACTGAGAGCAGCTTGAAGATAGATGCATTTAATAAATGTACAATTTAAGAATATGACTCAAACTAGTTATTGGACTTTCTTTAATTAGGACTAAATAATAACCTTCAAGAAGATAATAATAAAAAGATAGCTAGGTGAATATTCAGATAGTTTCTTACATATTTGGCAGTCTTTTTCAGGATCTTTGAAAGTCATGAAGATAAAAATATATCTAATTCAAGACTGGTCACATGACTCATTACCTGTAATCCCACTTACTTTAGAGGTAGCAATTAGGATTGACAGTATCATGGTTCCTGGGGAAAAATTTACAAAGAGATCTTGTGTCAACAAATATGCTTAGCATGATGCTATGCCTTTGATTTCAGGTACATGGAAAACATAAATAGGCAGATTGGTGTCCAGAACAGCTCAGTTAGAAAGCACAAGACCCTATCGGAAAATAATTGAAGCAAAAAGGGCTGTTGATATGGCTCAAGTGGTGCAGCCCTTACCTCTCAAGCACAAGGCTCTGTGCCCCAGGAAAACTCCGCAATATGTATGTATAATTCTATCTATACCAACAGAGCTCTTGTGATAGAAATTGGGCAGCAGAATTTAACTGACCACATTGAGCAAACACTGTATTCTGATTGGCTGGCTGGAATATACTCCATAGAGCGTGTGCTATTTGCAAGAAATCATGAAAAAGATAGTAGGAGCTGGCCAGAAGATCAACATGAAAAGATAAACAATTATGTAAAGAAATGTGACAAGTACTGTTGTTTTTTTTTACCTATTATCAATATCCTGATTCCTTCTTGCTAATAGAATTCTGATTCTGTTCAGAACTGTACCCAGATTTTATTAAAACTAGGAATGAGTGGCCAAAATTATGGCCAAAAACATGACCAAGGAAATAGACAAATCTAATAAAAGTCACCAGCATACTTTTTTCTTTTCTACCAAGATGGACAAGTGCAACTGACAGCACTATTTCTATATGATTCTAGCCTTGAAAATGAATAGTATATCTCAAATTATAGCAGTTTACATGTGACAATGAGTTAGAGGTCCAGAAAATCATAGAATGTATGTAGTGTCTCTGAAGAGTTGCCAAGAACCTATCTCAAAATTTCTTATGATGTCAGAAAGGTAACACCCTGCTTAAGTCACTATAGCCAAGATTTCTTTTACTTACAGTAGAGCATATTCTTAGGTGACAAAAACAGAATTCTGTTGAGATATACTAATTAGGAAGAATCATAACCTTAACGGAGCTAAAAAGATCTTAAGAAATCACATTAACCAGTGTGTGTGATGCTCCAGGGTACTGAAGTCCAGAAAGCTAAGTGACCCATAGTTGGGGACAGGCTCTGTATTTTCTGATAAATAACTGATAGGCTCTAACCACCAGTTTCCAGGCATTTGTTGAATGACAAACATGTAAAATATTCAGGATCCTACAATAGCAGTTTAATATATCCTGACACTTGCTGAAAGATTTTCATTGGTGCAATCTCAATTAAATCTTACAATAATACTGCAATAAAGATAGATATTAATCTGCTTAGTTGGTAGTTAGAAAATTCAAGTACAAGCAGAAAGAACAGTATTATTGTGATAAATTCAGTAGTATGGTTTCAATAAGAAAGAGATTGTTCAGGTTTTGATTTTAGGCAAATCAATCATTAGGAGCAAATTACTCGCTAAAAACATGAAGTTTTTGCTACCAATTCTAAATATTTGACACAACATTTTATGATAGTCATCTAAAATTATTTAATTCTTCACAATGCAAGTTTTTTGTCATCTATTTTAAGTAAGAAACCATTTCAGAAAGGCTAATGATGTCTTATACGTGTGTCCCTTCAGAGTTTTGTATGCATTGATGTCTAGGATATGGACACATGGGCAAGTGTGTTGTTTGTTGGATGGGCAGGTGTTTGCCAGTTTCAAGAATAGGGGCAAGTATATAGGTAAATTCTCCCTTTCTCATAATATGTAGGATGTCTGAACTTTCCAGTGACACTGTCTAATATACTTGAAAATATGACTAAAGAATATATCTTTCCTAATGAAATTATTACTATGTGGGAAACACTGCAAATGCATAAAGAAATGGTCTTATATAATTTGAATTATTTATATGACAAGATCAGTTTCATCCCATTAGTAAATTATCTCCCTCCTTTGCAGTGAATCAACTAGTGTTTAAGTACCTATTATGCTTCTTCATCCTTGAAAAAATCCTCATGGCGGTATTGGCAACTTTACCTCTCAACGGTAAGCATGCTTATATTTTATTATTTCTGCTTATAATAGCAAAAACAATGATTATATTTTGAAAGTATCTGATTATTTTCTGTCAATGTAAAACTAATGATAAAACAATCTGCACATTTCTCTCATTTAAGTATTGTTTTAGATGCTTAAAAGGGTACGAGTGAAGAAAGTGAGGAATGTTTGGCAAAGAGTGGAAGGAAATGTGTTAACATGTTTTCTTTTCTTTTTCATTCCTCAAAAAAGACTATAAAAGAAAATAATAGACAAGAATAATAAAAAGATGAATACAATTTCAGATTTATGCAATAGCAGTTTTTAAATAAAAAGTTCTACCTTTTCTCTGGTGTATATCAACTACTAACATTTGATTGCACACATATTCAAAACTTGTTGCCAAAATTACAGAGTTCTGACTCACATCTTCCTTTAGGTATTATAGTAGTAAAAGTTCTTATCACTTAAATACTGGTTAAAGAAAGTATATATGTATTTCAACTCCTGGTTAATAAAGCCAGAGAGTGATTAAACAAATTAAACTAGTATAAGTGGTGGGAAAGTGGCACTTTTTTTTTTACCCAAGAGATAGTTTCTTCACTTATAAAAATTTTAAATCAATTAAGTGTGGCAGGAGCTCTCATCTTTAATTTTATATTGATCACCAATGTAGGATCATACATGAGTTTTTGATGAATAAGTATTAAAAATGAGATACAGCATACCTCCTCAAGTCCTATGAATACTGTCACGGATTTTCTAAAATTTGGACTTGTTCATATTTGCATTCACTTCTACATTATTCTCACTAAAGTAGTCCTTGCTTTTTCCTCTTTTTATATCAATACTTCAATGTGTTTCTTATATGTTAGAGAAAAAGCAGTAGCAGAAAGGGAGAGGATGGAGAAAATGCAAGTTTTGATCTAGTCTTTTATACTAACTAGGT